ATTTTTGATTGTAAATTTTTTTCTCAAAATTGTCGTTGTAGCACAAAAAGTTCAGTGACTAAGTGACTTGCACCATAGTCAGTATATATATATTGTAATTAAATCAAAAGAATAAAAAAAAAATAAAAAAACAATAATATAATATACAATATATATATTTTTACATGCATAAATTTAAACAACTAATTACCTTTCATGTAATCAACAAATCACATAATGTCTACAGTTCACTCTTTCTATAATGAACACTAAATGGAATCTCTATAATAATAATGAACTCTCCTTTTGTCCCTGATCCATTTTTTTGTAATTAACTTCTCTCTCTATAACAAACAAAGGCATTTGAACCAATATTATATGTTTTGTAATTGTATATTTTTATTTTTTTCAAAATAAAAAAATAAAATTTTTGCGCACCTTGATAAATTTATATATAAAATTTGAAATTTTTGGTTCATTACAAGATCTTGCAGTTTGTGGGATTAACGGGATTATTTTTAACCAAAATAAAGTTTCCAACGAAAGGTATATTATTGCAAGATATTTTTGGGTTTTACAATTATTTTTGATCATGTTATTGTTTTAGAACGGTCACACAATATAAAAAAGATCGCCAATCAATTTTGCCACATGTGACAAATTCAAATGTCTGCCATGCTGCTTCATACTATCACTAATTTTTTTTTTCAACCATTTTCTATTATTAATTAATATTTTTTATATATATTTAGAAATGTAATGGTTAAAATTAAAGGCATTTATTTATTAGTGACATTAGCAGGATGTTGTAATATATATATATAAGCTAAAAGAAAAGAAAAATTTGTTGATTTTGATTAAAGTTTCATTAATGATTATTAATGGTTTTATTTTTTCATGTATAGCTATTTTTGCTTCCCAAAGTTATAAACGTTTCAAGATTTTGACTATTGAAATCAATTTAATTAATTAAAGAAAAATTGCCTTTGCATAAACTGTTATAACTCATCATACATATATAACAACGCCAAATTTTAGGTACTTTCCACATTGCAAATATAATTTTTGTCATAAATTCCAACTCTTTAAAATCGGAATCTATGATAACATTAGTATTAAGCATGCAAAATTTGTTATCATCAAATTCAATTTGGACCTGTCCTAGGACTTACGTACGAACTGGCTCGAACCATGATTTTCAATTCGAAGGTTCAGCGGTTCGATTCGAACCAAACTTAATACATGGAAAAAAATCGCGCACATTTTCAAAAACAATGATTGCACAAAAAACGCACATAATAAAAAAAATTAATAAATAATATTATTTTGTTATTTAAGTCGAAATTATACATGCTAATCTTACTTTCCTATCATTTTTATTAAACTTTGATTGAAATTTTTTTGACAGAGCATTTCTCGCTTCAAAAAAAAAAAAAACGAATTGTTCAAAAACACACAATATTCTTCGACATATGATGATTCACGTCTTGGATAAACATTTTGCTGTTTTGAAATTTTTATGAAAAAGCATAATTTTTTGAACAAATCCTTCGAAAAATTTTAAGCTCAAAATGTCACTTTAACTGAAAGTCGATGTGAGAAATTATCAGTCTTTTATGAAAACAATATATTTAATATCTATAATTTTTGTCTCACATCATTAAAAAATATCATTTACGAAAAGAACAGGATTGCCTAAATAAGAAAATCAAAAGATCATTTACGAAAAAGAAAGCTGAATTGCCGGTAGAAAACAAAGACCAAGAAAGATATGAATTCTTTTTTCCGCATTCATTCAAATTAATTAATCAACAAATGGGCTATCTTTTATTTATCTGTTTCAATCAATTAGACCCGAAAGTAAGCATAATCGCTACGACAAGATGTGTTTTGCAAAAAATAAACACCAAAAGTATGGAAAATAATGTACGGTACACACGTACAATAGATTGGTCAATTAATTAATCAATCAATCAATTAATATTTCCCAATCAATTTTTAAACTTTAAAAAAAAAACAGGTTAGAATTGGAGATCGTTACTTATCCAACCAATATTAATATATTAATATAGAAAAAGAATGATCCAGATTATGATTTTATTACAGTAAAATTATTTATATAAATGAGAAAAAAGCCAGCTCCAAAAAAAAAAAAAAATTTAAAACAAAATAGTCAATTAAAAAAATTTAATAAATTACAATGAACCATAATAATAATCATTATAATCAAAACCATAATCATAATCAAAATTGTAATCATATTAATAATGGTTATCCTGTTCCACTTTCTAATGAACAACGAAACATTATTCCTCGACATGCTACCGTCAGTAATAATCTAACGGGCATTGTCAACAATAATAATCATTTAGCTGACCATGGCTCAATTAGTCCGATGAACATCACTCGTATCAATAATCCGGCCAGTTTTACTACCAATAATAATCTCACCGGCTATTATCACTCAGCTAATAATAATTCTGTTGATCAAAATACTCATTATCAAGTCTCTGTTGATAATGATTTCTTTCGTCAAAACTCTAATAATTTCTTTGGAGTCAGTAATAATAATTTGGATCTACAAAATAATAATAATAATAATAACTACAATGATTTGACAAGAAATCAACTGATTCTCATGGCAGTTCAGCTTCAGAATATTGTTAATCAACTGTTAAACCGTTAAATAATAACAACAGTAACAACAAAATAATGATATTAATAAATTATTTTTACTTTACTATTTATTAAATGGGCATTATTTTTTTAAAATTATAATTAAACGCAAATAAAAGAAAATACCTATCTAAAATTCGTGGTTTGTGTAGTTGAAAAAAAGTTGTATATTTGATTGTAAAAAAAAAGAAAAAGAAAAAATCGAAATGCTCATGTAAGTAATTAACTAGAAAGCATTGAAATTTTTGATCACTTAGAAAAAATATTCTTCATATAGTCAAAGTTGGAGGGTTTAATTAGTTCGGTTCAAGTTTGACTTAACTCTGAACTTGAACGAGCTGGACAGAACCTGAACCACACCCGTGAGTTGACTCAAAATCAGTTTAAAGTTTATGCACGTGTTCAGGGTTCAAGTGCAAAATTGACAAACAATTTCTAAATGTGGTTAGAGTCGCCAATTATGCTATATAACCATTTCTCTTTATTAATTTCAAATAAAGAAAATGTCTAAAAGTTCGTGGTTTGTGGCTGGAAAAAGTGTTGTATATTTAATTGTAAAAAAATTTGAAAGGCTCATGTGAGCAATTAACTGGAAAGCATTGTAAGTACTCCCAAAATTTTTGGCCACTTAGAAAGGTATTCTTTATATAGTCGAGGTTGGATGGCTTAATAATTTTTTTATAGATGTTTTTTTGAAGGTTTTAATGGATAGTAAAACTCCCTGCATAAGAGATTTATGTCAACAGTTTGTGACCCAATTAAACTTTGAGAGGAAACAAATATCACTTTATATTTTTATTTGTAAATTTCTGAACGGTTACATTTATTTACATGTCCATTAATTTATTGACGCAAAACTTTTTCTACAACAAAATGTTTTTCAAAATTGACAAACTTGCCTCAAAAACCTTTATCTTCAATGGAATAAAGCTCACGAGTTAATCAAAAGTTTATGTTAAAAATAATAATTATTATTATATAAGAAAATAGTCATTTTGATTCTTTTTAGACCATCCCAAGTTTTCCGCGAGAGCTTTCTAAGAGATTATTTATATACAATATTTACAAATCATATGGTCTTTTCATCTTTCTGTAATACAATTATTATCTTGCAATCAAGAATAAAGTGAAGCAACAATTACGAATTTTTTTTTACATAGTGTGTGATATTATTTATAAGCTTATATTGATCCTATGAAAAGGTCAACTGCTGTTCTGGACCATGCAGTATTTAATTGTTGTATATTATTGGTATGATTGCTTACAGGAATGTATTACTCTTCCATCCATATTATGAAAAAATATAATAATTTTATTTTAACACTTTGTACAATGCATTTTGTGTATCTTAATAAAAAAACCGGTATTTGCATGGGAAGAACTTTTTTTATTTTCTTTTGGGTCCCATCATCCAATTATTATTAATTTTACAACACCAAATGAGAAACATTGTCCAAATAAATGTTTCTTTACCGAAGGAAAAGTAAAAAGTATTGTGACATAATAAGAAAGTATTATCGTGCCAATTTATTTAATAACTATGAATTACTAAAATTGTAATAATTTTTAAAATTAATGTTTTGAAAATGCCGAAGGTAATGATAGTTTTTGGCATTGAATTAATTCAACGGCTTTTCGAAATTATTTACTATTACTATTAATATTAATATTTAATTAATAATCACTATTAATAAGAATGTTTTGCATTATTGTTATTATATCATTGTTATAATTAAAGTGGCTGTGTGGCTAATGCATTGATTAACAAAGTACGGTGCGCTAATTTTGTAAATTGATTAATAATCATTTGCAGCTAAAACGCTCTAAACTAAAAAATTTTAAAGAAACCAGAGAATTCTTTATAAAGTAATTAAGTGGAATAATGGCGAGTATCAAAAAAGATAATTGTACGACTTTTAAATTTTCTAAAAATAAAAACAGTTTAACTCAACAAAAAAAGTATAAGTACAAAGTTTTTTGACATTCTAGAAAATTCAAAAAATCAAAACTTTCAAGCAAAATAAATAAGCCATAAATTACTAAATTTAGTAACCCCTCAAACAACCTTTTACAAAAAAAAACAACTTTCAACAAAATGAGTAACCTTAACAATTCTTCAAACAACAACAGAGCCGTTTTTTTCATTGACGCTAGTGACCCGAAAATAAATCAAGTCATCTCTACTAGTAGCAATCATCCATTCATCAAACCACCCTTCCCACCTGTAATTGATGCTCGTGAATTGATCGTCAAACAAATCAATGGTAAATTGCCTACAAGATCTCCTAACGCTTTCATCATTTATCGTAAAGCTTTTCTGGGTGCAGCACAAGCTAATGGATACAAGTTACCAATGACTGTTATTTCAACAATGGTTTCCAAATCTTGGGAAAACGAACCTCAATATGTCAAAGATGAATATAAAAAACTTTCCAAGGAAGCATTCGATTGTCTCAACGAAATGAATCCAAAATCAATCAAACCTAATAAAAGAGAACGTCGGAATTTTATTTATTTTGATCGGAAAAATAAATCTTCTAAACCCCGTCTTAATAAAAATGTTAAACAATCAAATGGAAATACAAATAAAAATAAAAATAAAAAATCTAAACCATCTGCTACTATTATTGAAAGTAATGATAATATTGCTAATATTGCCAATGCAATTGATTCTTTAACTTGCGATAATTTCGATAATTTCGATAATTTCGATAATTTCAACAACAACAATACTACTTCATTTTCACCTCTTTCAACTTTTTCTTTGACAGATTCTTCAACAGATTCTTCGCCTGATCCTTCAATTGATTTCAATTTATTCTTCAACAACAACAATAACAACGACAACAACATTGATATTCTTATTCAAAATATGTTAAACGCGTCATCTCTTACACCAAATCTTAATGATTCTGAGGATATTTTAAATCAATTTTTAAATTTTTTCGATCAAGATATGTTGCTATCTACGACAACAAATGACTACCAAGCTTCACCAGACATTGATAATTTATATGAACAACAAAATTTTGTAAATTTAATTAATTCATTCGTTCAACCACCATCATATCCATCCTCAGAATTGGAAATATTTTCAGATAATAATAATAATGATTTTCAACAATTTGTAAATATTTATGAACAACAACAATTACAAAATGATTTTTTAAATTCATCAATTGACGAAAATGGACTTGGAATTTCATATAATAATTTCGATAATATTAATACCATTATCAATAACACTAACACTAAGAATTTTGATGATTTATTATTTATAAATCAAGATTTATTTTAAATAATAAATATTTATGTTTAAGCTTTGAAATTAAATATATGAATATCTTTTATTTTTTTATCTCTCTCTATTTGTAAAAAAAACATTTATAAATGTTCTAAGAAACAATTTATGACTATGGTTTAATTAAAATGTATATACATATAGAAATGTTTATTTAAATTAGAAATAGATTTAGATATGTAAATATTATATAAAAGAAATCAAAATTTTTTAACATCGCAATTGTACTATATACTTGTAAAGTGATATTTAATGAATTTATGATATCTCGCCCATTTTATTTTCGTTGACACAAGAACAAGGCGAGAAAAATTAAACTGCTTAAAGATTATCCAAGAAAAGATTACTTGCGAAACTTACAAAGAAAGAAGAATCCTCCATGAACTTCATTACAGCCCAATAATAATACATGTAGAGGAAAATTGAATACAAGGAGTTTTTAACGCGCCATTCAATTTGTAATTAACATCTTATCAAAATTGTGATGGTTTATAATAAAAGCAATTCCCCTTCAAAATGCATTTGCACCAACCTTCTATAAGACTCTAGGGTTAACCCTCCGTATGTAACATTAAATGTTGATCGATGAAAGTATGTTTGCTGAAGGACAGGTATATATTGCAATAGGTCGAGCTCCTTCTTTAGAAAAATTATATGTTTAGGCCTTGACTATTCTTAATTGAAGATTTCTAAACATGCAATATAAAAGGTTAGAGAAAATTAACATCGATGGCTTACGGAAATTTGGCAAACGATAAAAAATGATTTTTGATATTGAGGAATGCGGTTGTTGCAACATGTTACAACTCAATTCATAGTTTAAATATTTATTGGCCTTATTTGTTTTATCAGTGCTAGAAATGAAGATGATAAAAATGACCTGTTAAAAAAATTTGACTTTTACATAGAAATTTTTGTTGCAAATTCATCAGATCATAAAACCATTATTATAATAGTGGTAATAGAAGCAATAAAGGAAAACAAAACAAACAAAAAAATCGAATCTCTTTAAAAAAAATATTATATTATTATCGAGAGTCATTAAATTATAAGTTTATTTTAGATTTTACAAATAATAACATGCACAGAAGAAATGAAAATAACTCTATGACGTGAATGTTGGTTCACTTAATAAAGAGTATCATGGATGGTGTAACTGGCAGAATGTAAAGTAATTGCAAGGTATGCATCTAGATGTCATTATCACTATGCAGCGAGTTACACTTTTTGATAAGGGGAAACAAGAAATTAACAAGGAGACAAGTTGTGTTCTTATCCAAGAAGTCTACAATTTGTGAAATAGCTTTAATTATTTATTTGCAAGAACTTACAAGCTAATATAGATACAAATAAAACAAAGCATTTAATATAAAATTAAATGATTAAAACAAACCAATATTATTTAATTCAACAAAGTAATAACTCAAATAATGAATAAAAGCTGCAACTCCAAAGAAATCATTTAAATCTGACCACAGTACACAGTCAAATAGTATAACCAATCATGAAACGCTCCATGTTAACAACACTTCTTCTCTTCATAAAACTCCTCAACAAACATTCAACAAAAAAGAATATCCAAACAATAAATATACACACATAAACATATATTAACAAACATTCACTGTTACAACAAGAAATGATATTTACAGATATATAGTTATCGTTAATCTTTTGATTAGGCTCTCTCTGTCTTGATTAATTTATGAAATAAAATTACTTTGTTTTATTCAACATCCAACTGGGATGTTGGCCATCCTAAATAATTAAACAGTCCATTGAATAATGAAAGTTAATAATTATAATAATTATCTCATGACACAGATAAGGTTGATAAAATCAGGGAGGAAAAAAAAAAAAGAAAATAGAGAAGAGGCACAGATACATGGCTTTATAAATCAACTTATGAAATAGTTTTTTGGATTAGAGATATTATGAAAAAGGATTTAGAAAAGCCTGTTGAACTAATCTCTAAAGAATGGAATGTGGGTACGATTTAATATATTTTTTCATTTATTTTGTTTCTATAATGCTTATCTTTTTTACATTCATATATTTCGGATTATTATTTGAAAAAACGCAAGGATTTTTTTCTTCCGAATCAGGGCAAAGCCTGATTTTAAGAGCTTTCACGGCTGGAGGTTTTTTAGAAGAAGTTGAAGATGAAAAAATTACATCTTATTTAAAACACTCCATATGCTATTTGGTAAAAAGTGGAATATGATTTAAAATCATTAGATATTCACCCCATTGGTTGGAACGCAGTGATTCACTAGTATTTTAAGTTTTTAAGACGGTTATAATGACAACGATGCTACTATCATAAAATTAAAACATAAAATAATCACGCCTTATTCATTTATTCATTCTGAAAATTTTATAATTTGTAACTTGCAAAGTTCTTTTAAAAATTAAATTTTACCACCAAGGTAATAATAATAAAATATCTTTATATTTTTTTATGCCTCAAAATAAATAGACTAATTCAAATTGTAAAACTTTTCGACCCAATTCATTTGAGTTTGTATACAACTAAATATAAATAATAATTATTAAAAGGTTACCATTTTTGATTTCTTTTCTCTCTTTCTCTAATGTATACAATATTAATTATTGTGTGTGTGGTTTATTTTTTCCAGAAATTACAACACCCAATCCTTCAGTTAAATCATTTTCAAATCTTTTAATATCCAATACACCATTGACATCAAACCAACTACCATAAGATTTAGAAATTTTATATTCTGATCCTTTATCTGTAGATGATAAAGATAACAGTGATTCATTTTTGTTCTTTAACTCAAAAATAATACTATAAAGATTTGAATATCTTTTAGCATTTGTATGAATAACCAAAGTGTGTTGTTGCTGTTGATCATCACCATTTGTTGAATCTCCAATGAATATTATGTCACTTTCAATAAAAAATAAATAAAGCATCAAGATTGTATTTAAAACAAAATATCTTTAAAAATATTAGTAATATTAAGAAGATTATAATGAATGTAAGTGATGTAGATTAGATATAAATAAATATTAGGTAGGATACATAATAATACATATGAAAGTGATTAGTTTAGTATCTTCAAACGGTGTTACATGTCCATAATAGCCACAAAAACAAGCAACGAGACATGCCAAATATCCTAAAATAAGTTTAACATCTGTATGGGTATTGTTTTGTTTATATTTCAAATTACTTGTAAAAAACTATAAAAATAACATAAAAACAAATATTAAAATAAATATTAATACTAAAAATCACATACTAATAATCTTGAATTAATTTACCTTTTGAATATAATCATCGCACGCAAATTTCAAATCTACAATATTCCACCTATTCACCTTAATAATTTCTTTGGTTTCTCCTTCTTAAAGAAAACAATGCATTACACAAATGTCAATATTTTACTTCTTCTATTATCCTATAATTTATAATTTTACCTTTATTTGAAGAAGTAGAAGGAGTGGCAGTGAGTTCTTTTTCTGTTTCAGACATTGAAAAAAATATTTTGTAAAAAAAAAAAAAGGTAGATCATCACCAATTTTAATTCTTGGTCAAAAAAATTAGTTGTTATCCTGCGTTTATCAACCGGGTTAATCTAAATTATGAAAACTCAAAAGTTAATTTCAAACCAAGCAAGGAAGAAAGGTTTATTCATCGAATATGACATTTCTTTATGGGCAATCAAGGACAATATATTATTTGGTTTTCTTTTCTCGCTCTTCCTACTAACATAAGAAATACCAATAATAATAAAGCCTTTATTTTGCTCTCTGAAAGAAGGCCTACATCATATACTATCTGTATATATGTCTTTTTTTTTTTTTGCTTATTTCATTATCTTCTTGACTAGTTACCCAACTCATCAAGATTAATTTTGGAACTAAAATTATTAGGCGGTATTTCTTTGTTCTGATTGCTGGTCGTGGGTCGATTTAAATCCAACCCTTAATTACCAAATTTCTTTGTACATCACGATACTTTAAGTCTGGTAGATTCGTTCAAAATCTCTTCTTGTAGTTTTTTTTTTTTTGAATGAACTCTCCTACATTTAAACCTGTAGGATCTACCTCATTTGTCACCACAAAAATAGTTGGATCGAAGTTTATATAGTTTTCTTTTTTGAGAATATTTTTCTTTGGGAACCCGATATCATTTAAATTCTTAAAGAGTTCTCTTAAATTATCACAAGTAACAAATTTAATTCCTTTGATGTATTCAACTTTCATATACTTGAATGTAAAAAGGTTTCAGTATGTGCTGATCGTTTTATTCCTTTGCACATCATCAGTCCTGTTCTGATTCTGACACTACAACTACCACTATCACCACTATTTCTACTTTTACTTTTAAGAAAATATAAAACAAAAAAGCTATCAAGCAAGTACTTTTTTATTCCACTAAATTTTGAACTTGAAATTCATTGCGATATAATGTTCACCTTCTTTGGTTTTGTTGCAGTCTGCCTATATAAATAATAATAAATAATAATAATTAAACAAATTATAGAAATATATGCCACGTGTTCAAGTAATATTTTCTTTTGTAAACTTGACTGAAGAAGATGAAAAATATTTTTAAGAAATATATTATTATTCCCATCCATCCGACGACCATCCATCTGTATACATCTCTTTCTAATGAATAAGTCATCCAATATAAAAACATGCTAGTAAACAAAGTATGAAAAATAAATATTAATTCGCAATATTTCAATATTATTATTATTATTGATATTTGCTAATGATCCTATCACATCACATTGTAATCAACCTCTCAAGCTCGTCCAATTTAAAATTCACGCAAACTTGATTTTCATATATAACATTTTTAAAAACAACATCCTCTAAATTTTAAACTTTATTTATTCCAAAGTATCTCTTAAAGACGTAGTTTTTGGAAAATAGAAAAAATAAATAAAGGCAATTTATGATTGATTGTATTATTAAAATTTGCTATTGACATCATCAATAAATTGATATTCCTCGTGGGATCTGCCTGCATAGATCAAAAGATGAATAATAATAATAGTGATTATATGGATATTTTTTCACCAGCCAAGGTTGCTAGTAAGAAAAATGTTTTTATGGAAGACGTCCAGACAATCAATAATAATAATAATAATGCTTCAGAAAGTAGACCATCTAACAAATTTATGAGTCTTTTAAAGGCTGTTTCTTCTAGTAGTGATAGTAACGATAGTAATATTAATACACCTATTAAGGATTCTGACACCACTAATATTATTATTAACGGTAACATCAATAACAAAGTCGAAAATAACATTGATATTAATATAGAAGACACCAACAATTCTAGCAGAAGAAATTCAATAATAATAAATAATAACGATAGTAACATTGATAGTAATAGTAGTAATAGTTTACCAGATACTACTACATCAAATTTTCAACATAAAGTTCTTGAAAATGTTATTAATGAATGTTTGGAAGATTTTAAAACTTCATTACATAGAGATATAATGGATATGCATGTAGAATTAATAAGACAATTTCATATTCAACAGGTTTTTATTAATTTCTTTATGGGGGGGTTTTTTTTTTAAAAAAACTAATCATTTTCGTACACTTTCTCAATTGTACAGAATAGTATTGAAGGAATGTTAAAATGTTATTGTAATGATATGAATGAATTGAGAGAAGAAGTTAAAAGGTTAAAAGAAGAAAACAATTTGTTAAAAAAGAAAATATCTAATGATAAGTTTTATCTTTAATATCGTTCTTCTATTAGGAAAAACAAACAATAATTTGTCCTCTTAATAATAATGATGATATTGTTAATACAGACTTTTTAAAAAATTTAAAATTCATTCATTAATAAACAGGAAATAATAATAAAAATAATAATAATAATAATAATAAAATTATCAAGAGTTACTGAATCAAAAAAACATTTTAGTTATAAATCTATCCTTATTAACTGGTATAACTTTTTTACCTTGGGTGTTTCTGCCCACATCTAGAAATCATCACATAAATTCTTTTTAAAAAATTCAATAGAGCGTGCACACACACACACCTCTAACATCTTTCAATTTATCCTGTATTAAACTCATTGTTACTCCATTTGTCGAAACTCCTTTCTGACATTTCAATTTTTGATTTTTGAGTTGTGGAATATATGTTATTAGATGTAAATATATAAGCATAAATGTAGTCAAAATCAAATTTTTATATTTGTTTGGATACAAAATTCTGATTGGCTAATTTGAATTTCACGCGCGTGAATTTCAAATTCATGCACAACATTAGATTAGATTGCGTCAATTTTCATCATGTTAAAAAATAGGAATTCGCGTATCAATCTCTTTAGATTTTAACACAATTGACATCCTTCACCTTTCTTGTGAAATACCAAGATAAATAATAGATTGTTGGAATTATTTATTTAGAATTCATATTTTACATATTTTACAATACATTTTACATGTGTTAATAAAATCCTTTCCCACATGTAAAAATTTTACATCGTTGCCCCACATTTAATGTAATTTTTATTATCAAAGAATAAAAATATACACATGGATTGTGCTGTGGTAGTAGGTGGAAACTACATTTACAATTATTTAACATATACATATGTTAATTTGATCAAATCGCATCCTTAAAAATATTCAAAAATAAAATAAACCTTTTTTAAAAAAAAACAATGAAAGTGTAATAATCTTTAGGAAGCAAAAATATACAATAATATAGGCAAAAAATGCCTTTAAAGCTTCTTTCATGAGGATTATAAGAAACAACTGATGAAAATGTAAACCTGTAAACGAAGGATGCAATTTGCGCAATTAAACGCAGCCTGCATATTATGAACTTTATGAATACAAGAAATATAATTAAATCAAAATTTAATTAACTAAACCATTTACATCCTCTTCATCACTCTCATTAAGATTAGGTAGAAACATCACATTAAAATTGGTTCCAATTAGAAATTTTAAATCTTCATCACCATTATCATTGAAATTATTTACATCATGTCATAAAACTTGCCAGAACCGAACCTTCATATTCTTTAACAGATTCTTCGAAGCTTTCACTTAAGTCTCTTGAAGTGTTTCTTTCGTTTATCTAGTGTATGTCTGTGGAAAGGTTTAATTCATTTTTTATATTAGAGGTGAGTTTTGGTTAGTGATTCAATTGTTTGAATTCCAAATTTGCTTGTTAAATATCATTGAATTTACAGGATTAATACCAATAACCATATTTCAAAGTTTTTCTAGCTCTTCTACAATCTTTTATTCATACAGATCAGGTAATCGGAAATGTATGACAATGTGCTCAGGAAATCGCAAATAAAAGGCTGGAAACATTTGAAATGTTCCAATTTTTGTTTTATATTCTAAAAAATGAGATATATGTTAATGGCACACATATATAAATAAACTGATTAGGGATAAATAACTTATAATTTAAAATAAAAAATGATGAAAATAAATATAAATTGTCAATTTTCCTTCCTAACTTTCTCTCCTCCGAAATTCACGCACGTGAAATTCAAATTAGCCAATCAGAATTTTGTTTTTGAGGACTAAAAAAGAAAAGATAGGCGATTTGCAGTTTGCCTGAACAAGAAGTTGCTTGTTCTGGAAAACTTCAAGAAGATGCAATTACTTAAACTTCCAATAGCTACATCGTCACCGCCATTATCACTTCTTTCACTGTGTGTACCACTATCAGTGGTTCTACTACACCATTAATACTAATTATTACCATCACCACCAATATTGATATACAAAAGCTACTTTATCTTCTATACCTTCGTAAACGCCATAATAATATGATTAAATGACCAAAAAGATTTGCTTTCATAAATAAATTTAAAACCCACGAAGAAAATACTGTTTGAATGAATACAGTCATTATGACTAAAGATTAATTTTGTTTAATAATCTTAAATAATTTTACTTGAACGAATATTAAATACAATAATATATATACAATAGTAATGAATATATTGATATAGTTTTTACAATAAATACAATAAAATTAAATATGTTTACTGGTTCATAAGTTAATAATAATTTCAAACACTTTTATGAACATATTCTCTCCAACGATCTTTATATAATTGATGTTGATTATCTGGATAAAAATGAGTGAATGTTGTTACGATATAACATGCGCATACATGATGGTGAAATGTGCCCTTGTATCTGTTTATCGAAAGCCGAAAACTTAATTTTGTTGAAATGATGGATGTAGAAGTGTAATGTTGTAAATGTTCAGGAGGTTGATAATTTTGTCTGTCATGAACCATCTATTTTAGTAAAAGTAAAAAAAATTTTGTTAAAACCGTAAGTCTAAGCAGTTATTCTAGAAACACAAAAACTATCTATCATTATTTCTATTGTAGTTATGACTACAGTATATTTATATAGAAAAGATTAAACCATTTACATTGTCTTCTAAACCGTGATAGTGGCGTGCAAAGATCAAGTCCCTTTTAGATTATCATGAACCTAGGTTATACAGATAAGACCGGTGTTATCCTACTCGTGACCTGAACTATGACCACGATAAAGAATAAATGTAAACTTTATAGGAATAAAATTCTCAGAATAAACTTGCTTTTGTTTCGGGTTCTGAGATGGGTTAACAAAAAGTGGGTATGAGCACCCCATATGGTCCTGAATCACAGAGTGATCAGTTTTTATACAGGAAAATTCGAAATCCAAAATCTCAAATGAATCCCAAGAAGGTACTCTGCTCTCTGAGCACAAATCATTTGAAAAAAATTTAGTGATGGATTATTACATACATGTCAACATTTTAATCTACAAATGACTATGCCATGCAAATAGGATCAAAATATAAAAATGATTTTTGGGAGGGAAGGATGTTGTCATCATAGCAGTATAAATAAAATGATATGATATCTATTGCATAATCTTAATAAATATTTAATGATAATTTTTAATCTAAAAGCTTAGTATCTCAAGTTTATATACTACAAAAATTGATTGCACTTTTTGGATTCTGATTCTGGAATCATTATCATACAAACTACCAGTAACAAAAATGTCAATATTAATTTCTTTTAAGGTTGATTTTATTCCTTGTGAAGAACATAGCAAGCAACATTGATAAAAGTGGAAATTTTGTTGTATGTATAACTTAAATAATCCTTCAAGATTAAACAAATTATAATTCATCCAAAAATTCTAAAAAATAAAAAGACGACATCAATAAAATTTTGATGAACTTTAGAAATCTTACTTCACATATATAAACATATAAAATTTGTTAAGATGTATTTTTCTTCTTCTTGTAAATCAATAAACAATTTAAGCTCTATGATATACAACATAATCTAACATTTACATAATAATTCATAATATAGTAAAGGTGGCAATTGATTAATAATATGAGAGTTTAATTTTAAATATGTATGTATTTTTTTTGATTAATAAAAAAAAAACAAAAAATAGTAATAGGATGTCAATCAATATAAGTCATTCTTGGTTTTGATCACGATTTTTATGTTTGTTTTGATAAGTAGTGATAAAAATCTGGAATTTTAGTGATTTGATTAGCTGTTTCATGTACTTGAATCCTAAAAAAATTTAAATCAAAATTAAAATACAATTTTTTTAAAAAAGTGGCTATGTTAATATCAATATAGTTTATTTTCATACTCTTTTACTGTTAAAGCTTTTTGGAAACAAATTATATCTCCATTTTGTATTTCAGATTGATCAAATGTTGATTTTTGGTTCATTTTTTCTATCATATTAGGCTTAATCTCCTAATAATAATAATAATCAATATTTATTAATTTATTAGTAATAATAATAAACAATTAAGTTTAAAATTTTTTAATTATAAATCATAATGCAGTGAATGGCACATACTTCATATACATTGAGTGGAGTATTTACTGGGAAGTTCTTTTTTTTACATAAAATTGGATAAATGTCACCAACTTTACCAGATCCTTGTACATAAAGAGAACCAAGACATCTACATGATATACATAGGTATGCATAAATATAAAAAAATAATTGTCAAAATGATTAAATTCAAAAAAAAACCATATCCACAACACATACTCTAAAGTTTGTGTGCAAGGATCAAAAAATTTCAGAAATACTAAAGATTTTCCACCTGGTGAAGGAAACCAAGTCTAATAAATAAATTTAAAAAAAATTGATTTTGGATTTTGTCAAAATATATTTAAATGAAAATCTAATAAAGAATGAATGAATAATTTACATTGTCAATTAAAGGTTTATCTGCAATTTCCAAATATAATGTATTCTTGTATGATTTAGCACAAATCTCATCCATTGCTAATACATAATGATCAAAAAAATGAATAATTGACATATGCAAAAATATTAAATTATTAAAAAAAAAGATGAAAAAATTGAAATCATACTCAAATTCCAATAATCAGATAGCAACAATATGTCAGGTCTGACAGTTTTATTTGGCCTTCTGACAAAAGTCCAAAAACGAATTTGTTCAGGTTGTTTTTCATATTTGGCTGCTACATTCTGTTTAAAATGATTGAATGGAGTTGTTTTAAGAATTTTCATTACAGGAAGAGCTGATATAAGATCTTCTTGATTACTAAGATTAGCAAGGTCAAGTCCTTTATGTACTTTGAAAGTATCTTCAGTGATGAACTTTTTTTAAAAAATATATATTAATAAACTTATGCAAATAATTCATATATAATTCCAAATTAACATATTTAACAAAAATTCAAATAAAAAACACTCAACTTGTATGTACACATAACTTTCCTTGTCTTCATTTTTTGAAAATATTATTAAAATATATTTTTCATTTTTACTATATATTAGATTTAAATTAGAAATTAAGAGTTTTATTTTAAATTTCAATTAAACCTTTACCTATTATTCTTGGTCCTTTTTGGAGTAATAACTTTGGTTGCCATTTATTACTAAGATAGTATCCAAGAATTTCTTTATAAACTTCTTTATCAAAAATTTTTTTAAATGGTGAAATTCTTTCAAAAAAATCATTTGAAGAAATTTGATCAAATCTTATTAGAGGAATAATCTCTTCTAATGTATTTTTCAATTGTTTGAAATCATCTTTATTCCACTCTGAAACACTATCTTTCAACTCTTTATTTTGCCAAATTCCCCATTGAATAATATAATCCCATATTTCAATTCATTTAATTCTAAATCATCTTTCTTCAATATGGTTATTAGCATTGATTTTTCAATAGTTACAAAGTCATTAGATTTAAATAGTAATACAGGATTTTCATCAATTAATCCACCATAATGATCTTGAAGTAAGCTGAATAATTTAAATTTATATTTTGATAAAAACTTATGAATGTGAACTAAATTAAGTTGAATCCATTCTTTTCTTTTAACAAGTAAATGTTTTTGCAGATCTTCAATTAATTCATCAAAGCATAGTTCATTACATGCTTCAAGTAGTTCAAGAATTTCATCTGGCTTGAGATTATTAACATTGACAATACCATTATAAATATATCTTTAAATGAAAAAAAAAAAAGATTTTTAAACAAAAAAATCATAATTAATTAATATTAATAATTAATATTAAATTAATCTTACAATAAGAGAACTTTAAATATTTTTGGAGAAATATTTTCTTTTTCAAATAAAATGAGTCCATCAGATTTTTTTGCCCAATTATTTGACAAAGCTGCTTTAAAATACAAAGATCTTGATTTCAAAATAGTGGAATGAGCTTTAAAAGTTTTAATGTCTTCACCTCCTCCAACTCTAATTTCTACGTCATAAAAATCTGATCTATCCAATAAGTTTGTTAGATCGTTTAAAAGTTTATTAATATATTTTATTTTTAATGGTAAAGTATCTTTATTGAGTTGTTGTAAAAATGAAAAACTATCATTAATATTAAACATTTTTTTAATTTTAAGGGTAGAGGGAAATCATGTGATTTTAAATAGTGATCGACTGGCTAATAATTTTCATAATAATAATAACCATTAACCTCGTACAAGGCTATACCCAAAACTCGTTTTAATAAGATGTTTACTCTCACATAGTCATAAAAAAATAATATCTTGTTGATAATTTCGTCCATCTATTTTAGTAAAAGCAAAAAAAAACGTAAATCTAAGCAGTTATTCTATCATTATTTTTATTGTCATTTACGTTGTCTTCTAAGCCGTGATGGCAGTGTGCAAATATCAAGTCCCCTCTAGATTGTCTTATATTAATATAGACAAGACCAGTGTTATCCTACTCGTGATCTAAACTATGACCACGATAAAGAATAAATATAAACTTTATAGGAATAAAATTCTCAGAATAACTTGCTTTTGTTTCGGGTTCTGAGATGGACCAACAAAAAAGTGGATATGAGCATCCCATATGGTCCTGAATCACAGAGTGATCGGTTTTTATACAAGAAAAGTCGAAATTCAAAATCTCAAGTGAATCCAAGAAGGTACTCTGCTCTCTGAGCACAAATCATTTGAAAAAAAATTTAGTGATGGATGATTACATACATGTCAACATTTTAATCTACAAATGACTGTGCCATGCAAATAGGAATCAAAATATAAAAATGATTTTTGGGAGGGAAGGATGTTGTCATCGTAGCAGTATAAATAAAGTGACATGATATCTATTGCATAATCTTAATAAATATTTAATAATAATTTTTAATCTAAAAGCTTAGTATCTCAAGTTTATATACTACAAAAATTGATCGCACTTTTTGGATTCTGGAATCATTGTCATACAAACTACCAGTAACAAAAATGTCAATATTAATTTCTTTTAAGTTGGTTTTATTCCTTGTGAAGAACATAGCAAAGCAACATTGATAAAAGTGGAAATTTTGTTGTATGTATAACTTAAATAATCCTTCAAGATTAAACAAAAGACGACATTAATTAATAAATCAATAACAATAAAATTTTGATGAATTATAATATTCGCGTTACAGTGAACTTTAGAAATCTTACTTCACATATATAAACATATAAAATTTGTTAAGATGTATTTTTCTTCTTCTTGTAAATCAATAAACAATTTAAGCTCTATGATATACAACATCATCTAACATTTACATAATAATTCACAATATAGTAAAGGTGGCAATTGATTAATAATATGGGAGTTTGTATCACATTTTGTTTTGATGAAGTAAACTTTAATTTTAAATATGTATGTATTTTTTTTGATTAATAAAAAAAAATAGTAATAGGATGTCAATCAATATAAGTCATTCTTGGTTCTGATCATGATTTTTATGTTTGTTTTGATAAGTAGTGATAAAAATCTGGAATTTTAGCAATTTGATTAGCCACTTCATGTACTTGAATCCTAAAAAAATTAAAATCAAAATTAAAATACAATTTTTTTTTAAAAAAATGGCTATGTTAATATTAATATAGTTTGTTTCATACTCTTTTACTGTTAAAGCTTTTTGGAAACAAATTATATCTCCATTTTGTATTTCAGATTGATCAAATGTTGATTTTTGGTTCATTTTTTCTATCATATTAGGCTTAATCTCCTAATAATAATAATAATCAATATTTATTAATTTATTAGTAATAATAATAAACAATTAAGTTTAAAATTTTTTAATTATAAATCATAATGCAGTGAATGGCACATACTTCATATACATTGAGTGGAGTATTTACTGGGAAGTTCTTTTTTTTACATAAAATTGGATAAATGTCACCAACTTTACCAGATCCTTGTACATAAAGAGAACCAAGACATCTACATGATATACATAGTTATGTATAAATATAAAACAATAATTGTCAAAATGATTAAATTCAAAAAAAAAATCATATCTGTAACACATACTCTAAAGTTTGTGTGCAAGGATCAAAAAATTTCAGAAATACTAAATATTTTCCAACTTTTGGAGGAAACCAAGTCTAATAAATAGATTTAAAACATTTGATTTTGGATTTTGTCAAAATATATTTAAATGAAAATCTAATAAAGAATGAATGAATAATTTACATTGTCAATTAAAGGTTTATCTGCAATTTCCAAATATAATGTATGCTTGTATGGCTTTGTCATAGCACGAATCCCATCCATTGCTAATACATAATGATAAAAAAATATGAATAATTGACATATGCAAAAATATTAAATTATTAAAAAAAAGATGAAAAAATTGAAATCATACTCAAATTCCAATAATCAGGCAACAATATGTCAGGTCTGACAGTTTTATTTTGCCTTATGGCAAAAGCCCAAAAACGAATTTGTTCAGGTTGTTTTTCATATTTGGCTGCTACCTCCTGTCTAAAATGATCAAATGGATATATTTTAAGAATTTTCATTACAGGAAGCTCTGACATAGGATATTTTTGATTACTAAAATTGGCAAGATCAAATCCTTTATGTACTTTGAAAGTATCTTCAGTAACAAGCTTTTTTAAAAAAATATATATTAATAAAGTATGAAATAACTCATATAATTCCAAATTAATATATTTAACAAAAATTTGAATTAAAAAAACACTCAACTTGTATGTACAAACAACTTTCATTGGCTTCATTTTTTGAAAATATTATTAAAATATATATTCATTTTTACTATATATTATATTTAAAAGAGTTTATTTTAAATTTCAATAAACCTTTACCTATCATTCTTGGTCCTTTTTGGAGTAACAACCTTGGTTGCCATTTATTAATAAGATAGTATTCAAGAATTTCTTTATAAACTTCTTTATCAAAAATATTTTTAAATGGTAAAACTCTTTCAAAGAAATCATTTGAAGAAATTTGACCAAATCTTATTAGTGGAATAATCTCTTCTAATGCATTTTTCAATTGTTTGAAATCATCTTTATTCCACTCTGAAACACTATTTTTCAACTCTTTATTTTGCCAAATTCCCCATCGAATAATATGATCCCATATTTCAATTTCATTTAAGTTCAAATCATCTTTCTTCAATATAGTTATTAGCATTGATTTTTCAATAGTTGCAAATTCATTAGATTTAATTAATAATATAAGATTTTCATCAATTAATGCATCATAATGATCTTGAAGTAAATTGAATATTCTAATTTTATATTTTGATAAAAATTTATGAATGTGAACTAAATTAAGTTGAATCCATTCTTTTTCAACAAGTAAATGTTTTTGCAGATCTTCAATTAATTCATCAAAGCATAGTTCATTACATGCTTCAAGTAGTTCAAGAATTTCATCTGGCTTGAGATTATTAACATTGACAAAACCATTATAAATATATCTTTAAATGAAAAAAAGAGATTTTTAAACAAAAAAATCATAATTAATTAATTAATATTAATAATTTATATTAACTTAATCTTACAATAAGAGAACTTTAAATATTTTTGGAGAAATATTTTCTTTCTCAAATAAAATGAGTCCATCAGATTTTTTTACCCAATTATTTGATAAAGCTGTTTTAAAATACAAAGACCTTGTTTTCAAAATAGTAGAATGAGCTTTAAAAGTTTTAATATCTTCACCTCCTCCAACTCTAATTTCTACATCATAAAAATCTGATCTATCCAACAAGTTTGTTAGATCTTTTATAAGTTTATTAATATATTTCATTTTTAATGGTAAAGTATCTTTATTGAGTTGTGGAAATGGAAAACTATCATTAGACATTTTTAAGGTTTTATTTATTTTAAATAATAATAATTGTTTAATTGCCGATCCGCAAATGAACTGAGAATTTAACAGTGATCGGCGAGGCAAAATTAACTATATATATAGTTTTTTGTATTAGTGATTTTTTTTATGAATGAAGAATACTATATTTAAGAATTAAAAAGCTCGAAAACTTTTCTATGTAGGTTATTTCGAATATTCAACATAATAAAATTCTCAAATTTCAAAAATGCTTACTCTTTTAATAAATTCAAATTAATATTAAAATTGAGTTGTATTATGAATAGAAATTCTAGTCATAAGTCCCATCCAAAAGAAAAAATAAAGATTGATATTTTTGGTATTTGTATTTATTGCTGAAAGCCTGATTTCAACATCAGAAGTTGAAACGGACTCAGATATGATGTAAAGAGTAAGAAGGTATGTTTCCCTAGATAAATTTCATTTTTCTAGTTAGGAACACTAGAAGACATCTGTACTAAATTCAGCAGAAGATAAAGAAGCGTAAATAGAAACTTCTATCTCTCCAGCCGGAAGTTTCATTAATCACAAGAAACATCGGGTCTGATGACGGAGTTGAACATAAACGCGAGTTTACAGAGAAATTCCAAAAAAAAACGGAAAATAACAAAAAATGAGTCTTGACATCTCGAAAAGTTGTCGATGATGAATTTGGTATGAGGTGTCGTTATAAAACACTAAATTCCTGTTGTTTTTAATCAGGTTATTGGTTTTTTAAAATTAAGCCATCAACACGTCAAAAGTCTCTGTCATTCTTTTGTCATTGATCCAGATGACAGAAGTCTCGTCGAAGAAAAAGTCTCCGCCAAATCTGAACTCAAGGAAATTCGTACATACAAACCAAAACCATTTTTAGATATCCCCAATATTTGTTAGGATATCTTAGTAGTTATCAATTGGTACGTATTCCAATGATATTATGTGCTTCGGTCATTGTTCATAAATGATATTTTTGACAACTTCTTCATTTGAATTTCTGACAGGTTTTTAGATCGAAGCCATGGAAATCACTATACAATCGACAAAAGGATTTGCTACTGTCTCAAATAGGAATGTTGGGATCACCTTCCCAGAAATATTCCAACATTCACAACCGGTTTCACAGAAAAATGCTATCTCAAAGAACAAGTTAAAAAAAATGTAAATAACTTCAATTGAAAAGCAGAGGGAGAACTAATTACGCACCATTTAAATTAAAATAAAATCGAACCCTGTAAAAAGCATCCTTAAAAAACTTTTATAGTTTTAGGTTTATTTTTCGTTTGAAGAAGGTGCTACTATGGCAATAACATGAGCCATGAAAGATTTTAAGTAGCTTGGAAGATGGCTAAAATTGCGATATCCAACACGCAGAAGAAAAAATCGAAGAACGGGATGTTGCTTATCAGGAATTATTTGATAAATATGACCACTCTCAGTTATTTAGTAACCAAGTTTTATTACTTATCAAGAAATGAAAGTAGGAAAAAAGAGAATGAAGATTTAAAATACTATAAAAGTAAAGGAAACAAAAGCATGCAAAACTTTTTTGGAATAAATGAAGCAATTGGAAAAAACAAAAAACAGGGAATTAATAGAAAGATTTTTAAGTATAGTTGATTTGAATACTAGTTTTACTTGACTAGATAATATGTATGATGACTAGGGATGTTAAAAGTCGGTCCAGCCTAAGAATGGTGAGTCCATGCTTGGAACGGACCGAACCATCGGACTTAAACCTTAGTCCGGGATATTAAACATTATTATTATTAGTGTTCGTGCATCATATGACAAAAAAATCAAGACCACAACTTTAAGATTTGAACAAGTAAAACTTGTAAAATTGCGAAACTTAAACGAAACTTTGTATACATATGATTAAAGCTATTGAACAGTGTACTTTTGTTAATAAAGTTTTATTGAAAAGGTAGTGTGAAGTTCAACATATGTTGCGAATTCTATTAGTAAAGTTACGAATTCTTGTCTTCTACTATATTTTTTTGTTAAATTAAGGAAAACTAAATGAATAGTCTTCAAGTTAACCTTAACAACTATCGATTTATAAAAAAAACAATAATATTTCATTTTATATTATTATATACATATAGTAATAGCAATAATAGAAATGGGAACACCTTGGCACGAATCATCACTGGCTTCCAACATCAGCTACAAACTCTTTATATGAGCAAACAATTCACATTTAATAATGGATACAGACGAGAAAAAATCTTCAAATATTTTACTTATGGCACAGGCTTTCAAACGTTCTACTCACAATATTATATTCATATTCATCATATAACTGTTAATAAAAATGTCAACCTTATACCAGGCTCCTAAAACAACTCACCTATATAGTTCTTTAATCTTTCTTCGATTATTGGTTGACGAAATTGCCTTGATTATATTGTTCTTGAAATCTCTATGTTCAATTTCCTTTATATAAGTAAAGGTATTATTTTGTAGTTAAAGTAAGCAATTGGACTTAAATTAATACGGGAAAAAAGCTCTATGCATTAGTTGTAGTAGTTAAGGTAGAAGGATTGATTATAAAATTTCAAAAAGAAAATTTTGCCACGCATTTCTATATGTACCCATGTAACCACCCTTAATATAATTTTTTATTTTGAATATATAACAATACTATATATATCGATATGAGACTATCTGTGTATCTTTGTTTATTTTGTTGCTTATCCCATTATCTTGTCTGACTCATCGAAGATTATTCTTTTTTTTGAACTAAAATCGTCAATTCCACTAAAATTTGACCCCCTGTGACATAAGCGTTCACTTTGTCTGGTTTTGTTGCAAGAATAGGATATGTTTTTATATATTATTTATTATTATGAAATAAAATAAAGATGAATAATAATAATATAATGATAATAATATAATGATAATAATAATAGCAAAATGCAAAATAAATACAAAGAAAGAAATAATAATAATAATAAAGTCAATTATTTTTGATCCTATTCATTTGGTGTATATATATATATATAGTATTCTAATTATAATTAATTTGCTCAATTTATTTTCAATTTATTAATTTTTAAATTAATTAATTATTAATTAATATATATATATATATATATAATATAATATGTTAGCTAATTATATAGTCTATATATATATATAAATTATATTTATTCTTCTTCCATAGGCAAATCGGCTGGTTTAACAAGACCTGGAATTTTCAACGCATTTGCCATTTCTGTTTTCTTACGTAGTTCGGCTTCAGCTTCTCTTTCCTCAAGATATAAATCTGCATTATCGCCTGCAAACTCTTTAAGTTGAATAAGAAAATCACGTAGATGTAATTTGAATTTCATATTATCTTGATTTAGTTCAAAAAGCCCTATAACAAATGAATGAAGTTGTGCACTACATATATATATATATAATAATTATATTAATAATTGTTATATTGTTATCATTATAAGATTAAAAAAAAATACAAACGGTTGTAAATGTGTAAAAGCATTCTGTAATAAATTTATAACATATTCTCTTAAATATCGTTGATTTGTCATCTCAGGATCTCTAATTTCAGGACTGAACAAAGGCGCTTGTACTACTCCTGATTCCACAATTGAAAACATAAATTGAAGTACTGCACATTGCATTTTAAATCCTTTTTTGATATATTTATTTATTAATTAATATATATTTTTTTAAAAATTAATAAATAATCAATTCACCAATTCAAATCATACCACTTACCACTTTTGTGATCTGTATCTGTTAAAACAAAGAATACATCTTGTAATAAATTAAGATAATATTGTTGATAGAATGCATTTGCTACCGCTGACTCTTGATTTGAAATATTGTTCAGGAGTTCTAAACAAATATGTAATCCAGTATCTGCAATATCTCTCATTGTATGCTTAAATGCCCATACAATACTATCCATTATAAGTTTAAATTGTGCTGCAGGTAATGTAAGTAACGCTATTAAATAATAAATGTGTGTATGTATGTAAAAATACAAATTTATTTCGTTATTTTTATTTTATTTTATCATAGATATATATAAATATTTAACCATAAATAATAGTAACCTGGGAAACAGTGTTGATTAATGGCTCGAAGTAATTTAAAGAATCCAACGCGATGTTCAGGGTATTCCGAAAAATCTTTATTAATCATATTTAGAGTACATTCAAACACAGCACTCAATATTGAGGGAATTTCATTCGTGATGCTAGCCTACAATATGTATTAAAAAAATATAGAAATAATTAAACAGTGTAAGGGAAACTCTCGCATAAAATATTAATTCAAATAATACACAACACATACCCCCAATTTTGATATAATAGCTGCCATTGAACTTAACACTTCAGCGTCTCTTGCAGGCTCTACGTTTGTATTGTAGTCGATAAGAACTGATGTTAAGAATGGTGGCATTAAATGTGTTATGATTTGACTTGTATCTTCTGCCTTAGTTATATAAACTTCCATTAATTTTAATGTTTCTTTTTTGATAACCCTTAAATTACGTACACGTGGTGTTTTTGTTGCAATCAATCCTTTTTATTAATAAATTTGATTATTTATTTGTCATAAATAAGTAAATTAATAAAATAACTTATGCACACATCTTCAAGTGTAAACAAAATAGAAAAAATACTCGTACCATCTTTTGCTACACTATCTGATATAAGCTGACTGACTGCTTTGTATAATTCAAATAGACTAAAATAAATTCTAGCAATTTGAGTTGAAAATCCGCCACCCACCGCACTACATGCAGCTACATTAGTTTTTAGAATGTGCCCTAACATTTTAGTATTTTCAGGCACATTTAACGCATCCAAGTTTTGAGAAATTTGTGTCAATATTCTATCCCACTAAAAATGATTATATATAGATTTATTAGTTTGAATTTTGAATTTTTTAAGTTTTTTTAGAAATTCCTCGTGTAAAAAAATTCAACATACTCCTGCATTTGGAAGCTCCATATATTGAGCAACCAATCGTTCTTGTGCAGTCTTATTAGTTTGTGCAGATATCATATAACCAACAGCTTCATAAAAAGTTTGAACCTATATCAATAGGCAAGTTATATAAATAGATTTGATTAAAAAAATTATATAATACATCTATTAAATATACATCTGTATATTTTCCTTAATTTTAATACCTGTTGATGTGATAAATCTTTCGTAATAGTTTCAATTGTATTCAATATTTCATCAACGAAAGGTACACTTTCACCTTGTTGCGGTATAATAAATTGACGTCGACATTTTTGTGCTATTTTAATAAAAGTATCACACGCCATATCTTGTACACCTGTATTAGTGTTGTAAATTTCAATAAGTATTGAATTTAATTAATTAATTCAATTTAAATTAAAATACATATAGTTAAGACGTGCCTTCATGTGTTTCGTGCATAAACTCGAATAATTTATTGACAACGGTTTTCAAAAATTTCCAATGAGCCTTGAGAAACCGAGGATATTGTCCGACAATATACATGATATTTGATGCAACTATGGCCTTGTTCTCTTTGCCTCGTTTTTGTTCACATAAACCTAAAAGTTCTTTAATAACAGTTACCAAAAACCGTTTTTCTGTGTCTTCGTCTATATTCAACAAATGATAATAATAACACACAAGTATATAATCAATATCCTGTGACTTTTTTTTTCAAAAAATAAAATAAAAATAAAATATCCTACACATTGCGCCAGAAATAGAACCAATTGCCCAACAAAGTTTACATAGATTATTCCATGACCATTCTGATCCATCAACCTTCATTCAAAAAAAAATATATATATAAATTTATTCTAGTTGGAATATCGATATTCAAAAGAAAAAGAATAGTTATTACCTGTTTAGTTAATTTGTTTGACATAATACTCTCGGTATCCTGTACATCTAAATTTGTCAGGTAGACCAAACACTCGCGCATACTTTTGTATAAAGTGATTGTATCACTATCTTTCATAAATTCACGAATAACCTCACCCTCTTCATTTTCAACCACAAGAACCTGAAAATTTAGTTAGTTACATCTGTAAGTGTCGTTATGAATACATAACACATTATTTTTTTTATTTAAAAAAAGGAAAGGGCGTCACTTACCTCTTCTGGTTTTACCATACGATCAATCATAACAACTCTTAAATTTGATAAAATGTCAACGTAAATATGTTTTCTCAATGGAATGTTGGCAAGAGAGGTAGGGGCTGATGAAACGCCAGTTAGAGAAAGAAGAGGCATTTCAAGAACAGGTAATTGTGTAATTTCAGCATATAAATCGCTGGACTATAAATTAAATTAAAATTATTAATATCATTAAAATAAAAATATTATTGATTTTATTAATAATGATAATAAGTATAATTACCAGTCTACTCCAATATTCCAAACAAACCTTGAAAACCTCACGTTCTTCAACTTGGGAAATACGAAGGAGCCAGTAATGCGCAGTTATAAGAGCGGAACGGTTCTGTGGTAACTCCAATATCTAAGAGAACAGTCCAAGCAAGATTGAGCTATAGTAACATTGTTTTTATTTTATATTTATATATATATATATATAAGGGGTTTTTTTCTTTTTTTTTTTTCTTTTTTTTTCATATAATTGATTCTCAATTTCTTGATAATTAATTATTAGATCCGGTTGTTTTTTGGCTTTTAGTTATTAATGATATTAATGGTAACAGTAATAATAATAATGGTAGTACCTTTAGGTGAACAGTTAAAAAACTTGTCAAGAACAACGCTAAGTTTTGGATAAATTCTTCGAATTCATTAGAGCTGTTATTATAAAGAACGGGCAATTCTACTAATAAAACAGAACATATTATTATTTAATAATAAGCTATATTTGTTACGATAAATTAGTAAATGTTTTTGTTTTTGTTGTAGTTGTAGTTACCGTTTTCAAGTGGTATCAATTTGTCTAGTGACGTCACAACCATGCTAAAAAGTTGAATTAGTTTGGTACCATGTTCCGGATCTATGCTTATTGCTGCAATCTCAGTCATGCACTTTAATGATAAATTTCTATAATCATCCAATTCTATAAACTAGAAAAAAAATTTTTAAAAAATGTTTATCAACATATAAATATGTGTATATCAATCAATCTTTAATAAATAACAAATAAATTTTTACTCTAGTCCATAAATTATCAATTATACTAGTTTCAAAGATGTATCCCAAAGGAATCCAATTTAAAAATTTTAAAAGCGTTTCCAAAGTTGCTTTAATTAAACTTGTTTGATTGGCTGTTTGTAAGACTTCGTTACAAAGTTCAAAAATCTTTGAAAATTCATTACACATTCTTGCTTTCAAATTTTTTGTTTTAATTTGTGTCATTTGTTCAGCAGAATAATCGAAAATCTCTTCACTAAAACCAAAAGAGGTCAAGTTAATTTATTTATTTATGCATATTCTCGGCAATAATAATCTTTATTATTATTATAGAGACAACTTGCCTTAATAATTTTAAAATTGCCATATTATTCTCACATATATTTAAATTCGAACGTCCAGTACTAACAATCTCAGGAATGAATTGTGGCCAATTATGTGGCCATTCTTGTTTAAGTATCTTTTTTTGATTTTTGAAAAATACATTAGCACGCACACGCACACACATGACATGTTATAATTTTGTAAAGAATATATGAATTGTTGTTGTTATTATTAATACCTGTACTAGAATCAAATTAAGTTTACTCAAATAAGTTTTCTCTTTATGAAGTGATTGTTCATTCTCAGAAGTTGCAACTATTATACTGACAATGAAATTACGAATTCCTGTTGATCATAATACAATTTGATAGATTAAAATTATTTGGTGGTTAACGAATTAATAATTAAAATCTTTTTAAAATAAATTATTTTGAAAACTTTATTGTTGTAATACATGCCCATTTGTTGTTCAGGAGGAAGAATCTTCCATCTTGTTTGAATAAGTTTTTCAAGAATTTGTAATGCAATATACTGAATTAATCAATATCGAATATATATAATTATATATTCATAATATAATTTAATATATATATAAATCTCATGCAATTAATCAATAACACACAATAGACATTAGTTAAAAATTAATTTGAACCTTTGTATGAATATATTTGGATTTATCTAAAAGAGAATCAACTTTTAACCAAGCATCAGGATGTTCTTTAAATTGAGTTAAAATTCGTTGAGCCAGTTGTTGCTAAACAGGGAAAAATCAAAATAATCACGTTCATTAATCAATACTCAATCTTAAAGAGACGCGTTGGATAAATCAATAATATATGTGATGTTTCTATGACAAATCAAACCTGTTCGCCGACACCAGTATAAAATGTTTTGACAACTAGATCTAACTTATCAACGTCAAGATCTTGTGAGAAATCTAGAATGCTCTGATCAAGTGTGTTTTAAATTGTAAAAAATGTAAAAACGCGTCGATTCCAATTTGTTTACATTTTGACATTAGTAAGATCAAAAGTAGTTGATAAATCTAATAGTAGCTACTTTATATTAAAATTTTTACCTCCATTATCAGATCTATTGATTTTTTTAAAGACTCTTCAACAGTTATGAATCAGAATCAAATATTAATAATAATAGAAAGATATATATATAAAATATAGATATATATAAGTCAGATCTAAAAAGAGCTTAAGGTTAAATAAGAAAAAATATATATAAATTACTAGTAAAATAAAGCGAAACACACAAATATGATGGTATCGCGTCTCAACCAGGAATTTTTATTAATTAAAAAAAAAGAATACTTTATAGTAAGTAGTACAAAGAATTTTTATAAAATGCTTAGAAGTAAATTTTTATTTTAATAATAGTTATATTTATTTTTTTTTAGAAAAACAATAAAGAATTTGAAAAAAAAAAATTTACAAGTTAATTGTTATTATAAAATTATAATATATAACATAAAAAAAATCGTTGTGACCTAAAGGACACTAAGTAAAGGGGAAAAAAAAAGATTCGGATTAATCTGATTTGCCAAAATTATAAATTTAAATGATTATTAATCAATAGTGTAACGTGATGATTTAAAAACTTTTGATTTTTCTCCTTTATTAATATAAGAAATAGTTAATACAAATGCCAGTGTCAACAGACCAAATAAATGTTAATTGGACACTGGAGAATTTAGAGGTGAGAAAGATGATTAATCATGATAGATTCAATGATTAATTCATTCACAAATAAATTCAATTCATAGACTCGCATAAAAGATAATAGTGAATACATAAATTCATTGATAGGTTTAATTCCTCCAAAATATTATTTCAAAAACGATGTGAGTGCTTTTCTTTCAATTAGAAACGATATGATATACCATAACTTTTTTCATTGATCATTCTTTTGTTTTGGGGCAAAAATATATTAGCCAAATAATGATGAAACCAATAGCAATACTAAAATCATTGATGAGTTTCAGCCTAATAAAAGGAAAAGGTTTTCCAAACAAGAATTGAAAAAACAGAAAAAAGAGGCCAAGAAACAAAAGGTTAAAAATAATCATGAATTAATGAATTTTATTACTTTAAATAAAATTTAACAACAACAATAACAACTATTATTATTATTAAAATAATGTTTAATAGCTTGATCCAAATAATTTAAAGACAGTGTTGGATATTCATAAAGAAAGATTGTTAAATATTAATCAACAAAAATCATCAATTGATAATGATGACGACGACGACGACGACGACGACGATGATGATGATGATGATGATGATGATGATGATGATAAAGAAATTAATGACGATAATGATGATTTTGATGATGATAAAAGTGAATCAGAGATAGATAATAAAGAAAAATCAAATCAATCAATCCATCAACTTCAACCAAAAGTTCAAATATCGACTGCAGAACGACTTGCTAGAATTCGTCAGGTAAAAGAATCATCATCATCACAATCATTGATTAAATCCAATTCAAAGAAGAGTAAGCAAAAAAGAAAATCCGAAGAGAAGAAAAAAAAGAAGCAAAAATCCAAGATTAATAAGCAATTGAAAAAAGAAAGTGTCAACAACAACAACAACAACAACAACAATAACGAGGCTTTACATAATGATGACCGTGATGTCGCTGATGACGGAAATAAAAAAATTAAATTTGCAAAATTCGATTTTGAACAAAAAAATAAAAAGACAAAGAAACAAGATAATATACATCTTATAAATAAAGTTAATTATTATGTCGATATTATACAATGTATACTATTTTATTATTTTCACGTATTGAATATAATTGTTCTCCTTTAGCTAAAGAAAAAATCAGAAAATTTTAAGAAATTGGAACGAAAAGATCCGGAAAAAGTTAATATTACATTATTATTTTTAATTTATGAGAGGAATTATAATATTAATTGAATTATATAATAGGCAATGATAGTTAAAGAAAAAGATGCTTGGAATAAAGTTTTTCTGAAGGCAGAAGGAGAAAAGATTAAAGATGATTTAAAATTATTGAAAAAAACAGTTAAAAGAGGCGCTATTAAAAAGAAGAAAAGTGAAAAATCTTGGTATACATAAATAATCGTTTTAAGAGATGGCGGAAGACTTTTTTCATTCTTTTAACAAAAATGTTTATTATTATTACCATTTAGGAATGAACGTATTGAAACAATTGCTAAAAATATAAATGAAAAACAAGAGAAACGAAAATCCAATATTCAAACAAGAATTGAAGAAAAAAAGAAAAAAGTATAAGAAAAATTTCCTGATTATATTATTCATATATTATTATTATTATTCATGGTTGACTAACGGTTTTTTTTTTCTGTCTAGAAAATGAAAAAACGTAAATAAAGATCTTTGATTTTTTTGTTCCAACATCTCATTTTTATTATATATATCCTATATAAAAATAGGATAAGGTATAAATGAATATATGTGGCTATAATTGGTATATTGATAAAATAAAAAAATACAAATATACATCTATTTATAAAAAAGATTATTTATATGTTACAATTCAAAAGTTTCAGTGTGTACTATGAAAAGACCCTTCCGAGTACTTTGTGATGTAGCAGCGTTTGTTACATCTTTAAGCATAAGAGATGGACCGCAAACACCAACAGCCACATCTCCTGAGCTTTGATATCTTTTAGCACTTTGCATTATTCCTTCAAATTTTGGTCTACCAGCATGTAATATTGACGAAGTTGAAATATTATCATTTATATTTGGTCTTGTGACAAAAACTTGTATATCTAATATGTAAGAATTATTTGCTATTATATTAAATTTATCTTGAATTTCTTGAAGTTCAGTTGAAAACCAATGATATGAATCTAAATTAAATAAAAAAAGTATTAATTATCTTTATAACAAAACCTAAGATACTTTGTATATAAATTCTTACCAAGATTAGGAACAGCCCATACGAAATAAATAGTGTTTGTTGCAATCGTCATACCAGAAACTAAACGATCAACTAAATTTCTCAATATGCTAATCATAGGAGTAACTCCAATTCCACCTGAAAATAATATTACAGTATCATAATCCATGAATTGTACACTTGATTTGCCATATGGCCCTTCTATGCTTATTTTTAAAGTAGGATTCATCGCATATGATTCTCTTGACGCTCTATCAAATAACAAATTAGTGAATTTGCCAATTGTTTTTAAATGGATTGTTGAGATATTATTGTTTAATGATGATGGAGAAGTAGGAGAAGAAGATATTGACACAGGATGCCAAGCTAGAGTTGATAAAGGTTTCTTTAGATTTGAAAAGTTTACAAAAATGTATTGTCCAGCTTCATAAAACATGTTATATTTAAAGGTAACTTTTGTGATGTCATTATTAATTGTTTCTAATTTAATGATTTTTGCATTTTTCATTGATAAAAAGAATCTAATTGAAACGTCAATCAAGTAAAGAGAAATTCCTAATATTTCAAAATAAAAATTGCTTGGTGCATGAATAATACTTGCAATGGCAAAAGCTATGAAACCAACAATGTGAGCCCAATAGAAAATTTCAAAATATCTTCTTCTGAATATTGAAAGAGAGGATAATCCTAGTAATACTAAAGCAAGAAAAGCTATAAAACCTCTTGTATAAATAACATTTCCAAATACTGTTGTATATATATCACCCACTTCGTAATACCTCTTTTGTATATGACCCATGCCATGAAACATTATACAAACAATTATCATTCTACCAACCCATCTATGAAATTTAATGATGCGTTCATAAGGTATACCCAAGAATGTTAAAAATATAGAATTACGAGTAGCTAAAGGGAATACAAAAGCAGCATTTGCTACACCAATCCAACCAACTCTGTTATTTAGGTCAGTTGATAAGCTGACATTTGACGATTGAAATGGATAAAATATGTAAATTAAATTAAATGAAATGAAGAATAGTAAAAGAATTATTTCTCCAATGCTCATATCGCCAACACCTGTGATATGGATGATGGTATTCCACATTTTATGAAACCCAACTTGCACGAAAGAATGAATTGGACTGATGTCGATTCCTTCCTCTTCCTCTTCAGATTTTTCCCTTGAGCCATCCAAATTAATTTGAGACCGATTTCTTTTTCTACGATTTAATAAACGTTTAAATTGAGAATATTGATAGGGAATTGCGAAAATAACTAATAAACTAATAACAGTCGTTATTTGATAATAAGCAGCCGAAAAATCAGGCGAAGAGTCCATTTTTTTGTTTTATTTTGTCTCTTACGAAAGAAAATATACATATAAATGAATAACAAATGATGCGATTGATTTTGTATGATTTTTCTAAATAAAATTTTAAGGCTGTGCTAATGATACTTGTATAAAAGCCACACCAAATTAAATTGTTTTTTTGTAAACATTTTTAAAGTAAAAGCATTAATATTATTAATAATACTTTTAGTTTTTTACCCTCGAAAGAATCTTGCTAATCATTTATTAATATTAATGAATCCCTCAGATGTCGCAAACTTTACACTTTTTTCAAGTCATAAAACAATTCGTCGATCCTTATTTAAAATTAATGAATGCTCTCTTTTATTTCTTCCTTCTTTAGGCGGATTTGAATATTTCAAATGTTATAGTATACAAATATTTTTTGCATATTTCATTTTGTCGATTGTCTTTATTATTCTCCTTGATATTAATCTTTGCAGTGATCGATACACTCTATAAAATTCTAGATGAAAGTCCAAATTTTATTAACTTTCACCATGCTACTGGTAATTCGTTATGTACGGTATAATTAGATTTTAAAGGCTTTCCATCTACTGCATTTGAAAGATGTGGAGAAGGAAGAAGTGGTTTTAAAGACGATCTTGTACATCTCTACTCTATTTTATGTTCTCTTCTTCAGTGAAAAATGATTTGATTTGTGTGAAATTTCTGCTAACATTTCATTGTTACATTCTATTTTTTTTTTCTAGTGAGTCAGCTATATTATTAATAGGATAGCGGTCCCGTGAATGAATGGGAGCCACAAATCTGCTTTATTTTTAACGCGGCGCCAAAAATTTTTTTAAAAGCTTTTTTTTTGGTAATTTTTTTTTTAGACGTTTAACGAGAATAGCACAAAATGGTTTAGTTCTAGATGAGATGAGAGGCAGAAAATTTTTCTCGAAAAATTTATATCTCACCATGATGTTTTCTTTCTCGCACACAATTTATCTATATTACCTTGTTATGCGGTTGATTTCAGAAAAGAGTTCCATTTCCTCGATCGACGAGAGAAAGTTGTGTCTTGCTAGCCGATTTATCAAATTGCGGGTTTCTCTCTCGGTCTAATTGGTTAAAGATGAGTTATATCTTGATGATGATGAAATCAAGTTAATTGAGGATATAGGAAATCGCGGGTCAAAATTTGCTTGACAAGATCTACTGTAGAAAGGTGCGGATTGGGTGTTATATCCGCAAAAAAAATTGTAGCAATGATTAAAAAATAAAAGGCGAAGAGCGAGGGCTTGCCAATGCTGGAATATCTGGAATGTCCAAATCGAACGAACCAAATGAATATTCGAATCGAGATTTATTCGAATAAGAAATTGTATTACGAATAGAAACCTCAACATAATACAATAATAGCGATGAAAACAACCAATTTATTAGATCCACTAGAACAGAGATTTAATAATTGTGATAGCAAAGAAACACAAACAAGAAACTAAAATGCGTTAATGTCACGCTTTGTAATAATTGTTACTAATACATAATTAAAAAACTTTCATTAAAGGCCGCAATCGGTTTTATTACAATATAAATGTAAGTTTCAAATGACTAGATTCTAAATATAGCGATGAAAGAAATAAAGTTTCTACAAAACTATTTATTCAAAAACTCAAGAATGCATGTTAACATACATCATTTCAATAAATAGTGGAAGGAACAATTTATGCCTTGACAGTTACTACTGTATACATTGGGAATTTCAATAATCCGACTTTCCTTGTATTACTGTTATTGTTAGCTTATAAGAAGAAAAATATTTATATATTTTATCGAACTCCACATTCATTGTTCAATGACTCGTCTAACGATTTAGGACAATCAACATCTAACGCCAGCGCAAGGTTTAGGAAATAATCTGCACCAAACAAATCAACCAAAGACTTTTCATCATTACTGGCATGCGACCATGAAAAAATGATGATCGTTTTGATGGATTTGTTGTAATAATAACTCAAAAGATTACATTTAGTGTCTTTGAAATAAACCTATCTCAGGATTATGCATATTCTATATGCAAAACACTCAACTGTTTTCTTGCGACAGCAGAAGATGATGATTCACCTCTTGACATCATTGTTAGTGGTATTGACATATAAATCCATAATGTTATCATTTTGAGTTGATATTGTAGTTCTATATCAATGCTGGATTGAGTATCATCTGTTTCAAAATATTCCAAATCCAAATCATCATGATAAATATGAATTATGGATTCTTCATTCACATATCAGGTAATATCTAAATAAACAAATGTATTTACATCATGAATGTGGGTGATTTAATTATTATTTATAAATGATAAATAATAAATTATCACTTGGTTGCAATGAGCTTTGTAATAGCTTCAAACAAATGGATCGTGTTTCCCAATTGGCATGATATATTTTTGATTTACACCTGAAACATCACCAGTTCTCAATTCTTAATATCCTTTAACTAGTAATTTTGCAAGCATCATATTAATTTGAAGTTTTTAATCCTTTTGCATATTTATATGTTCATCATGTCGATATGTTCTTATAATATGATTTTGCCATCATACTATCTAGGTTTGATCAATTGCCACAAGAAATAAATCAATCATGACATAATAGAAGCAGACGTTGAAATATTTGCTATAAAGTTTTTTTTTTCTTCTTGATGTTAATCTCCTATTATATCATCCACAATTGGATTTGCAGCTGCCAATATTGAAGTACAAGCAATCAATGATACATGGGTACCAGCTGCCTCATAGCTTCATAGCTACTTTATCAAATATATCCATTTTGTCAAATTCATCAATTCCACAGATACCCTAGATTGTTTAACAAATTTTGAATTCAAAGAATGCCATCATTACCAATAAATAGACAACCAAACAAACAAATTACTAACATTATCAGCCAACGTTAATGCACCAGCTTCTATAATAAATCGCCTGATTCTTCATCTTTTACAACGGCTGCTGTAAATGATTCAACTGATGTATAAACAGATCGTGGGCTCATTGCTTGGACATCTCTTCTATAAAAAAGAAGAAAATGAACAGGATGTTTTTTTAAAAATCATAAAATGACCAATTACAATATAACCTTTCTATATACTCACTTGAGAAATTGACTTTTACTAGTACTAGATCACTAACAATACAAATGTTTATATATATCTCCACGAAGATTAATACCCTCTAGAGTACCCCACCTAATAATTGAAATAAAATTCCCTTCTTTATAATCTCATGACCTATATAAATAAATTGTAATGCTTATACTATCTATATATATACATACATATATATATAATAATTAAAACTGCAAATCAAATACTGTAAAGGCAATACTTTGAACTAGTTTATTAACAATATCACTATCTTGGCCCATTATTTGCAATATATGTCACCATCAACTTTCCAAAATAAATTTTCAACTTTTAGGTAGAAAATTTATAATATTTAAGAACAATTTATCCAGTCAATTTATTAATAAAGGAGTCTTTTAAAGATAATAATCTACCTTTACATCAAATAAATATACAAACAATATTTTATGAGTAAGTCTTTAGCTTTATACCATCAAACATCTTTGAATGAAAACTATGCTTTTTACATTCAATCTTTGTCCCAGCAAAATATCATTATATCAATAATTAATAAGTGAAAATTTGTTACGAAAATTGTGCAGAATTACTCAACAAACACACAAGATAATTAGATTCAACTCACTGAAATCATTGGTATCCTTTCTTCAACATTGTCTTTAATTATACGTCACATACTCTCTATTGGGTTGAGTTCGGGATTGTTCCATTCAACTACATTAATATTTTCTTGGTCAAAAAGCTTTTGCAACAAGCAAAGTATGTTTTGGGTCATTATCCTATTGCAGACGTCATTTTCTACCATGTAGTCTTTGCGCAGCAGGCAAAAGCTGGCTCTGTAATATGTTAGCATAATATGGTCCATCCATAGCTTCAATGGAACAAAATAAAGACGTTTTTAATGGAATGCCACCTTGACCATCACTTTCTGACGAGATTTTGGTAGCCTACGAATTAATATTTGCCATCTCCTGATTTTATTTCTAAATGCTGTTCAGTAAATATGGGACGATCCATCCACAAAAATAAGACAAATAACCATTCCACCCTGTTGTTACAATGTCATAAAGAGCTTCTGAAGAAGCTTATAAAGGGTTTGGAAATTTGCTTTTTTAACATTTGTCTGTAATTTTATGGCAAGAATCAAGAACGTAATCAAAAAAACATTTTGTTATACATGAACATTTACCTGAGAAGTTATTTAAGATTTTGGACAAGTCTCATTGTCAAGTTTATGAACTTTGCTTAATAAATAAATAACATTATTTTCTCGTTCAATTAATCTTACGGGAGATTCTACAAGGAGTAAAGGTTTGCTTCTGTAATACATATCGCTAATGATTTATAATAAAATTGCTTGGCCATGTTTTCTGTCCCCTCAATATGTTTGATCGTTAACATTGGGAACAGAGCTTTTTTTTCATGCGCCACCAGATGGCAACATGTGAAATAGGGTCATTATGACTTTGTCAGATGTCCATTTCCATGTTTATGGTCTATAGTATGATTTATTTTATTTGAGCTTTTTTAGATTATATTAAATCGTGCAAAGTGATATCTTGTTTTTGTGTATTTCTTTGTGCTGAATAATTCTATTTAGCCAATAATGCTTAAATGTTTCAGACAATAATAAAGAACAAAATTAACATATATAGTCATATTAATATCATACGACGCGGTTTAATTAATTTCATACGTAATATAATCCAGGATTTTCAAACAATTAATAAGAACAATAATGATAAACAATAAAAACAAGTTGGTGTTCTATACAATAAAAAAATTTAATATTAATATTAATAAAAAACCGGTTTTTCCGGTTCATTTTTGGAAAAATCTGGTTGAAATTATTATTATTATTATAGCAGCCGGATTTAAACCAGATTTTAATTTATTATTATTATTATTATTATCGCTAAGATTCAAAAATTAAGATCATACTATATTTGGTACAAACCATTCATTTCAAAATATTAAATCGTTATATATTTTATTTATTTAATAAAATGTCTTCTCTTTTGAGAGTTTCAATTATGCAGATTTATAATCAAATTTTTCGACACATCTTCTAATGAAACTCATAATAGTAACAATTTTTATCTAAAATCAGTTGGTAAAAGATTTCTATTTTTTTTTTGTTTTTACTAGATTCTGTTTTGGGAATCCTCTTTCACATGGTACACTTGAAAATGGTATTTATATGCAATTTTAATCAATCTAATTATATTTGGAAACATGTATGGTTTTACGTCAAATCACTAAATTTAAAAAAATCCAGGTCTGGATATATAGATCCGGTTTAAAGTTGTTGATCCGGAAAGGAAATCCGACTAAAAATATTAAATCCGATTGGTTCTGAAAAAAATTTAATTAATAATTGCTTTTTTACCTCTTATAAAATTGTTGTTCTATATTTATTACTTTAAGACAAGTAAAATTTCCAAAAAAGTAATTCAGGACGTACTTCACTTGTTCTGGTCATTTCCGTACCTAACGTTAAAAAACATAATCACAATGTTTGTTAAAAATTATCCAATCAGGCGAATTTTTCAGGGCCCTGGGCAGACAGACCAGACATAATTTGGTAAGGGGTCAAAAATCTCTACTATATTACCTGTTGTGTAATAGTAGTTGATTTTTGTCAAAAAGATTGATCAAACTACTTGGGTAAAAAAATAAATCCATTTTCTCATAATAATAAACAATATTCAACACGTCGTATACTTGTTACTTAATGACACGGATTTTTCCAAAGTCTATCCATCTTTCAATCAAAAAGAAAATCCTAATGTAGATTTCATGACACCGAATTTTTTCGAACTATATGTAAGAATTGTATGTGTGTGTGTGTATATATATATATATATTATTTACAACAGACTGCATAGCAAAACTTAAGATATATCTGTACCAGCGAAAGTGTTGTTGGCTGCTGGAATATACCAATGGAGGTATAGTCTTGGTTAGATTGTGTGTATCTACACTGATCAAAAAACGATTCAGTTAGGATTCAACTATTGATTTTGGTGCCATAAGGATGCCTCTTGGAAAGAAATCAGTAAACAATTGAATATCCAAACATTAGTATAGCATTCGACATAATATTAAATGTTGCATGAATATTTATCTATTCAAATATTTGCTATTTGGTTGATTTTGGCTATATATAACAAACATTCAATGAGCTTATTTCTTACTGAGTGACACCCTTATAGTGCCAAGATTTAATGGCCGAATATTGCCTGGGATTTTTTTTGGTCAATGCTAGAGTATTGGGTTTTTAGGAACAGTATAAAAAAAAACAAGAGGTTGCGGATTTCTGTGAGGATAGGAAACCAAACAACAAACAAATAAAGCCCGGAATTTAGAAAGCTATGAATATCGTTTAATAGAACCCTATTCAGAAATTTTCAACAATCCAAATGATTATGTTTCAATGAGGATCTATTAGATTAGTTGATAGAAAGATGTCTAATTCGACTGTAAATATAGATTTTGCTCCAAGTACTCTAAACATATTATTTGCTTTAAATGCAACCCATTTTCCAACAATAATCCAACCAGATTCGAATATTAAATGAAACATCACCATTTCTCCCCGAATTCCCTAAATTTTGGAAACAAAGGTAATTTATAAGATTTCTGATGAATTTTTCCTAATATCTGATTACTAAAATTAATTTAATATTTGAGATCTTGGAAATTTAGACTAGAACAAAATTTCTATATTATCTAGAAAGAAGATCGTTCAGATACGAAAACCTAATAGTGAATTACATGATGAATTAAAAATTTCCAAGTGACCTCTTTGTCATTTGACAAAACTGTTATATAACAAAGCTTACAGAACAGAAGCGATAATTTCTTGTAGTTTATAATGTATTTAAAGGACAATGGATTTTTTTCATTGGATAATTGTTATTTATTATTATTATTATTTAATGTTATAATATTTTATAAATTCATAATAATATTGAACAAATTATGAATTGCAAAATTAATAATTAACAAAAAATTTTTTAATATTTTTATACACTAATTTGAAAAAATATCATTTTTTAAAAAAGAGTAAAAACGTGAAGGTAGTGTTGTGGTTGATTCATTATAGTAGTAGTACAATAAAGGGAAAATGGATGATAATGGAAAATATAGAATGATAATAGAATGATAATGGGGAATGTTTTAAATTTTTTTCTTCAAAAAATTTGAAAAAAGGAAAAAAAAAATAAAAAGAAGTAAAAAAACAAGGAAGGAATTATAATAATATTTAATAATTATTATATATATATATTTATATAAAAATAATAAAACTTTCAATTTTATTATTCATTGAAGGCATTATCCAAATCATTTGAACGTTTTAATAATTCCGTGCGTCTTTGTTCTTTTTGTTCTTAAAATTTCAGAAATCATTAAAAAATTATGTATGAGATATTTTATTTTCATTCCCTCCAAAAAAATAAACAAATATTTATCTATAATTTATAATCTTATTACCTTTTGCTATTCTTAAAATGTAATTGTCTGCTTGTTTTTGTTCAGGAGTTTTAACAACACGGACACCTAATGCACCATGAACAAGACGCTTGGCTACCATATCAGTGGTGGCGGGGCGTGCGCGGGGTTGAGGGGGGTTGTTCGGATCTGTAAACAAAAGCTTTAATTTTTTAGAAAACATAAATGAATATTTATTTTTATTTTTGGGGAAAAAAAATATTTTAGAAAGCAGTAAATAGATATATATATATATATATATATATATACACACACACAAAGGAAATGGTTTAATTGAAGATAATAAAAAAACTTACTTTTTTGAAGAAAATCGGTAGGGCCTTCATATGGTTTAATTGTTGCCATTTGATTAGCAACATTATCTAAATAGGCTTTCCTTGCTTATAGTCATAAATTTTTGAAAAAAAAAATTTAATTAATTAATATGAACAATTAATATAGTAATAAATTCATTTCAAGTAGTTAATATAATAATTACCTGTAGCAGGATGCTCAAAGATAATTAAAGCACGAGTATCTTCCATCCATTTGATACGATAGCCTCCACGCATGTTTTCATATTCTTGGAAAATCTCATGAAGATGATGTGTCTTGAAAGTTGATGGAAAATCAAAAACATCAAGAATACGAGTTGAACCTTCAAAAGCATCTGTACATAACAACAATATTATTATGGTGTGTGTTATGTGTCGTAAAAATACATACAAATTATTTAAATGAGAAATTACATACCTGGATCAAAATTAAATTCTATTTTACTACTTTTATTTTTCTTGTGACCTTTTTTAAAAGCTCTATCATTACTTTTGGAGGAATCGCTATTATTGTCATTGTTATTGTTGCTATTATTCTTTTGATTGTCTATTTTTTGTTTAGACCAATCAAATAGATTGTTGTTAATATTACTGCTGTTGCTATTATGATTACCCTCTATTGGACTTATTGGACTACTAGGAGTTGAGCTCTGCATATTTATATGATTGTATAATAACCCATATGCTATAGCGAAGTAAATGAGAGAATTTTTTTTGTTAACTACTTTGTGTGTAAAATGGTAATGGTAGTTAGGGTCAAAGCTGATATGTGAAAAAGGTAAAGAAAAAAAAATTTTTTGAATTTTTAGTGGTATTTTTTTTAAGGAAATTTATAGATAGTGATTATGTGTGACTATAAAGAATATGTGACTTTACAGAAAGGTTTATATATGATGTGACATTACAGAAAATGACATTACAGGAATTCTCATTATAATCATTATTATTATAGTTAATTACAATCACCTATTTTAATTAAAATGTTTTTTACTATTATTATTATTTTCATTATCTTATTATCTGTTTATTATATTTATTATATGTAAAAATTTCCAATTGTTTGTTATACATCTGTTCTACCAATTTCATCCAATAAAAAATATTTATAATTTTTCAGGGTCTGTCTTTAATTTTTTGCCTTTATTTATTACTAAATGACGATTGTGTTACAATGCTATTATTGTAGTACAATGATCATAAGTTTTTTAATCCCTTCCTTTTTCCTTTTCCTATTTACATTGAGAAAAACAGGATTTCAAACTAGGATTATAGTTGCTTAAATTAAATAAACAAAGATTAATAAAAGAATTAATATAAATTAATTAATTGGCGGCATAAGACATTAAAAGGTTATTGAAAATAGAATTGAAAGTGAGTGAAATTTTATGAATTGTGATTAAATGTTTGTACAAGGATATATGATAACAAACAAAAACTCATTTATTAAAAAAATTTTCTCACACCATTACCTTCTTTTAGGTCATTTATTTGTTAAAGATCGTCATGATTGAAGGTCGTAATTTCAAGGAATTCATTGGACAATCCAATTATTATTGTTATTTACGATCTATTAAAAAACATATATGAGAATCTCAAAAACAGGAAAAAATTGATTGATTGATTGATTAAGTTACCTCCGTGTAGATTTGATAATTATATGATGCTTATAACTTTGCTTGCTTGTCCAATAAATAATGATTTTTAATTGATGATTCCCATGTAATCATCTGATATACTGTCATAACAAGTATAGTGGTGGTTATGTTGTTATTACGTCACTACATTTAAAAAACTCGAGCATTTTGCCAATATCAAATTCAACAATTCAAATCATCCTATAATTAAAAACACGTAAATATAAACATTGGATACTTTATTACAAAGTTTTACAAATTTATAATTTTTTTTGAAAGAGAAATTTTTAATGAATAAATGTAACAAATTATTACATATGTAATGTGAAAATAAGGGGGGGGGGCGCATAATAATTAATGTTGAGAAAAAATTATTATTTTTATTAAGAAAAAAATAATAATGGATTCTGCTTTTCACAAAGATCTTTCTTGCGATATAGGACAAATTCTTGAAATAGGAAAGAATTATGATATGATTATAAGTGTTGGTGAAGGTGCAAATGTAAAAAA